CCCCCACCCCCGAGCCGGCCCCGCTGTGCGATTGTTGTCTGCATAGCGTTGGGGAAGTCGCTCCTTGACCGCCCCTCTTCCCCGACTCCTGTTGTGGCTGCTAGGCAACCCGGGCCCCTGGCAGCCCCGCGGTGAACTCCTCCGCACCTCCGCACTCAGCTCATCCCCATCTAGAAACTCCCCAGTAAATTCAAGATGAGTGAGTACTCTGCCTTCCTACGATGAGGGGGTGAAACTGGAGTGGCCCTTATTCATCGAGAGAGTCCCGCCGCTTGGCTGCGTCGTTGTACGAGATGGAGTCCTCACCAATCAGGACCATTTACGCTGATCAGCTGTTATTCTTCATCTGTTTGATGTAGGGACCAGGCACCCACTGGCGAAGGATGACCCCACTATCGACGCCGCAGCAGACGACGATGAAGCCGGACGCGCCGCCGCCCCCGTGCCCTCAGCGCCCTCAGCGTCTGACAGGATTAGCAGCTGGCTGCGGTGAGTGGGCCCACCTGTCTTACACTGGAAATCCAGGGTGTCCAGCATCTGTGCGACTTAGGTACCTGACCCTAGAACCTTGTGCGACTTAAGTGGCACAGCTGCTGGATGCCTTATTGTGGTTGGGCGCCCTTTCCCTGCAGAGGGGCCCAGGCAGGGGGTGTCCAATACAGTGGACTCTCGATAACTGTTGCCTTGATAACTGTCGCGTGCGAGAGAGATAGCTATAGAAAAAGAGCGCGTTCCATGCGGACTGGCTGCCGGCTCCGGCGGCTCGCCCGATTTGCCTGTCGGAGGAGTAGGACGAGCGGAGTACGGCAGCAGCGAACGCACAGTACCCTGGATAACTGTTGGGGCGACAGTTATCGAGAGAGTCCACTGTAACAGGGTACCCTACCTAGGCTTTGGCCTGGACCCTCGGGCAGAGGGTGCCAAACCCCAAGGTGTCCAGCAGCTGACACCCCGGATTTAGTGCAGTGTCCTCGTCCTCCCTCGTGCAGATGGCGTCACGTTCTCTCTGTCATGTCCAGGGTCGCCGCTGAGGACACAGTCCGGCCTGCTGGGGCGGTGGGACAGCCGTCCCGATGCAACTGCCTGGAGTCCTTCGTGGCACAAATGGAGGAGCAGCAGGCAGCGCAGCAGGCAGCGCAGCACGCCCCGCAGCGCCGCTGGCTGGAACGGCAAGAGCGAGTGGCGAGGCTGCAAGAGCGAGAGGCGAGGCTGCCAGAGCGAGAGGCGAGGATGCAAGAGCGAGAGGCGAGGCTGCAAGAGCGAGTGGCGAGGCTGGAGGAACGAGAGGCGAGGCTAAAAGAGCGAGAGGCGAGGCTGCAAGAGCGAG